TTCAAGAGAAACATCCAGTTGTTCTACCAAAGAATAGTCACATCACCACGCTGGTTATACGACATCACCACGAAGCAGTTCAACATCAGGGCCGTCTACTGACCTTGAACGAGATTCGACATGCTGGCTATTGGATAATCCACGGTAGAGCCACAGTATCAAATGTCATCAACAAATGCGTGAAATGTCGCAGACAACGAGGCACAACAGAAACCCAGAAGATGGCCGATCTTCCATTCGACCGCACGAAAGAAACCGCTCCGTTCACTTATGCTGGAGTAGATGCCTTCGGCCCCTGGTATATCAGAGAAGGTAGAAAGAGTGTAAAAAGATACGGCGTTATCTTCACCTGTATGGCTTCAAGGGCCATTCACCTTGAAACATTAAACACTATGGACACAGACAGTTTTATTTGTGCTTTAAGACGGTTCATGTGTAGACGAGGAAACGTTCGCCAGCTTAGATCGGATCGAGGAACGAACTTTATCGGGGCGAAAGGAGAGCTGACGCAAGCATGGAATAAGATGAACCAAGACCACGTCCATCAATTTCTTCTGACGAAGAACTGCGATTGGATCATGAATGTTCCTCACGCTTCTCATATGGGAAGTGTGTGGGAACGACAGATCAGAACAGTCAGATCAGTCATCTCCGCTCTTATGACTGAACTCGGCGACCAACTCGACGACGAGACTCTGCGCACGCTCTTCACAGAGGCAGAAAATATTGTTAACTCCCGCCCATTAACTGCAGATGTCTCCGACCCCGACAGTCCAGAACCAATAACACCAATGCAACTACTTACGCTGAAATCTAAAGTTGTACTGCCACCACCGGGACAGTTCAGTCGACCCGATGTCTACAGTCGTAGAAGATGGAAGCGTGTGCAATTCTTAGCAAATCAATTTTGGCAGAGATGGAGACGCGAATACCTCCAAAACTTGCAAATCAGAAAGAAATGGCAATGCCCCAAACGAAACCTTCAGGTTGGTGATATTGTTATTGACAAAGACGAAGACCTTCCGCGAAATCAGTGGCCGTTAGCGAAAGTCACCAAAACTTACCCCAATGATGATGGTCTAGTTCGAAAAGTTGAGATTCAGAAGGCAACAAGCAACCTGGATAAGAACGGAAGAAGAAAGAATAGCTTGAGCAGCTTCGAACGTCCAATTCATAAGTTGACAGTGTTGTTAGAAATGGTGGAGCAAGAAGAGACCGAAAGGAACGTCCCCGCCAAGGAGCAATGAACTTTAGTTGACATTTCTATGTGACCTTTAAAAGATAGTTAGTTAATATTTAGAAAATGAACAAAGTTGACATTTTGGGGAGCCATGTAGCAGCCGCGACTTCCGGCTGACGGACTTCCGGGTTTTTCGCCAGATACCAGTGTCCTGTCATAGATATTTGTAAGTAGATTGTCAGTATTTATATCTGTTTCTGTCCAGTATTCAGTAATTCGTATTTATCCGTGTAATTCCTGTATATTTGTGTTTGTATTTAGCACCGTTCGTTATTGATTGAAAATAAATTAAGAATTATTTGAAACGCGTTGAAACTCGAGGCCCCACAACCAGTTTAAACAGCCGTGGGGCTGGCACACTCAGTATTCGATAAACCATTTTAAACTGCATTATAGTTTTTACTTACTTTAGCAGTCTTTTAATTTAACGTACACAAAATTTTACCATGGATTTACCAGACTGCAACCACAACAGATATAACCAATATATTCATCCTTTTCTAGCACTTGGGTTCTTGTAGTGTAGTGGTTATCACGTCCGCCTCACACGCGGAAGGTCCCAGGTTCGAGCCCTGGCAAGAACATTTTTGTATCTCCGTTTGATTTTTTTTCTTCTCACATGTTGTAAAATTTCGAACAACTGATCATTATTTGAGCTAGGGTCATTATTAATAAGCTCATTTGAAAAGGTAGCTTTGATTTTTTTCTTTTATAATAACTTGAATACTTGATCAAAAACTGAAACCATATGCAATAAACCTAACCTGCGAACAGGCGTCGACGCTGTGAATGGTAAATCTTATGGTTGGGTGGTCAAGACATTAATATGCAGAAACGCGTAATAGGCGTACTAAGGCGTACTAAGATCGGCTGGGTAAGGTCAGTGACTGGGGTGGCCTGGGAACGAGGTTGTTGGGGGTGTATCAATCCAGGAACCGAAGGGGTTGCCTGGGAACGAGGTTGTTGGGGGTGTATCAATCCAATCTCGTTCCCCGAGCCTGCGATCCTCGGGAAGGAACGGGAGGCTCTGGGATAATCCCATAATCCGTTTCAGGGAGGAATCTGATTGGTCGTTGATATGGAATACCAGGAATTCCTGGCTTCCGGCAACGGATTATCCCTAAGCCTCTATAAATTTTATTGGATTATTGACTTATAATCATTAAAAAACAATGCATGGGTTACCTTGTGTTATATAAAACAATATAATGAATGTCTTCATTCGTGTCATGATAAAAATATTTTCACTTCGTGAAAGATGGAATGTTCCGTTCAACTCGACCGAACATTCCATCTGTCACCGAATAAAAATTGGATGTCTAACTGAGGAATACGAAAGATTGCTCCTGAACATGTGATTGTGGAATTTCTTTAAAGCTTTGGGAGTGGTACGGTATGCTTACGAGAGCTGTAGCCTGAAGTCCTGGGGCCAAAGAGCTGGTTAGCTTAATCTTGGGTTAAAAACTTCCAAGACCAAGCGAATGGACATTTGCATTATAGACTAAATTTTGATCTAGACAAAAATTTCATCACAGCTTAAAAGAGCATCACAAAATTAGTAATATTCCAAAGTTTCGTTGCGAAATGTTGTAAAATGCGGATAATGTAGCCTTGCGAAATTTGCAATTTTCAGTCATTTTGTATTACGCACAGAAGTGGTAACCATTTCCCGTTTGTAATCTAAAATGACTGAAAATTGCAAACTTCGCAAGGCTATATTATCCGCATTTGACAACATTTTGCAACGAAACTTTGGAATATTACTAATTTTGTGATGCTCTTTCAAGCTGTGATGAAATTTTTGTCAAGATCAAAATTTAGTCTATAATGCAAATGGTCCATTTCCCGCAACAACTTGTTCATAAAGTTGTTCAGGGCTCACATTGATACCAGTTCTTCTGAACTGACGTCACTGCCCTGGTGAAATAAATTTTATTTGAGTTGATGAAACTTGAAAAGGTAGCTATTTTCCATAATTTATTAACAATTGTGTGGATCATTTAAACGAGTCATGAAGTTTTACTGTAAAAGAAAGGGACGTATGGAAATACATGACACAAAATGAAAACAACTGTTTAAGGGGATGTTTATATGACCCGCTTACCCGCGATTCACTGAAGTGTGACGTATTTTGAGCAATTGAAATACGTGTTTCAGCCCTAAACAAACGTTAGATAACTTTAGATATTGTTTAAACGAAATTAGGAACGCGCTAGAAGTTATGTAGTGGAAGACAATTAATAGCATTCAACAACATTTGTTTTTTTTGTCTAAAACATGGAATTTCACACAACTAATTGTAACAAGCAATTTTGTTAGATCATGGAATTGCTTACAATTGCTCAAAATACGTCACACTTCATTGAATCTCGGGTAAGCGGGACCATATAAACAGCCCCTAAAAGGCAGATATAACGCTAACCGAGCTTTGAACAACTGACCCCTGGTCAAACGAGGAGAGAGTTGCCGACGGTTCACAGATGAAACTCTCGCTCTCGTTTGATCGCCAAATCTCATCCACTCCTATCCAGGGCCGTACACAGCGGGATGGCACAGGGGCAAAATATTACTGCGACTAACCCTAAATATGATTTTTGACATGTGTAATAGGTTGGGCCATTCGAAGAAGAAACGTAATAAATCTTTATAATAAGAAATCCCATCTTGATCAACTTTTTCACTATCAAAATTTCCGGAAATGATGTCATTAGGTGAATTGCAAATTTGATGTCATTAGCCGGTGAATTGCAAATTTGATGTCATTAGCCGGTGAATTGCAAATTTTCCTTTGTTTTTTGTACCAAAAATTCACCTAATGATATCATCCGGAAACTTTGACGGTGAAAATTTCGATCAAGATGAGGTTTTTTACTATAAAGATACGTTACATTTCTTCTTAGAATGACCCAAATATTACACATACCAAAAATTATATTTGGGCCTAATCGCACTTTAAACCAAATGGCGCTTATAATGTTGTGATTCAGAAAGTATAGTGCAGCCATAAACATGTATGTAACTGATGATGAGAATGCATTGACATTTAGGTACACATTTCAGCATATAGGTTTACTGCACCCCTTGGTAAAAAACATGCTGTGTACAGCCCTGCTCACATCCTCGTTTGACCAGGACTTCAACTAGTTGTTCTTTACTGTGAAAGCATTTGTCTTCTTTACTCAGTCCAACGATAACCACAGTCCACTTGAGTACAGACATAGTATAATTTCATTTGCTATGAATAGAAGAAAATTGAATGAAAAATAAATTGACACTTTTCTCTATATATGAATTAGCCTCCGAGCAGGCATTTATTCAGGTGGGCTTCGGGGGTATAGAGTCATTTTTTGTTATAATTTATAATAACCAACTATGAGGGCCCCCTATACCTCTTCACAATATGCTTTCACGTAAAAATATTTTGCCTTTTCACGAGTCACGGATTAAGAAAATCATCGATCACGTTTCACGGCTAAGTAAAATAAGCCCTTCACGCTTCACGCAAAAAGTTTAGGGGGCCCGATCACGTTTCACGGCTAAGTAAAATAAGCCCTTCACGCTTCACGCAAAAAGTATAGGGGGCCCTCAACTATGTTTATAGAGTAAGTAAGAGTTGGACAAGACTAAAACACAAACAAAATGACTTTAATTTTGATATGAAAATAGGTTGTAAAACACCTTGGTTCAAGACGTATACGTTATTTGGAAAGCTATAATGTGGCTTGCTATGTGCAAAAGTACTGTATGCTTTCGCCTGACATTACAGTTACACTGTACTGTACATTGAAAAAATCAACAATTTTATAACACAGAAATTTTTTTTTGGGGGGGGGGGGGGGAGGAGATAACGATTTCTAGCTGGAAAAGAGTTGGGGAATTTTTAGACAACTCCTAACCCAACCTGTCAAACAGTAAAATTTTAAAAGTTCTTCCATGTTAAACACCATTGAGAATTATGCGAAAGCAAAAAAGAATGCTTTTAAATATACATACTGTACAGGTAAACAAAATACGAAATATGTAAAAGAAATCTTACATCGGCTTTACTTGATTGAGATTGAAAGAAAACAGCCTCACCATAACCGCATCTAAACAGTCAGGAAACTTCATATAATACATTTCAGTTGATAACAACACTTGCATTTTTATGTTATTGAAATTTATTAAGGTCACTTGAATTACATTTACAACAAACATATAAATAAAAAAAAACATTTCAGGAGTCAGTTGTATGAAGATCATAGGTTTCATTGATTTTGACATATATATTATATGCACCCAGATGCACCCTACTTTATTATTTTACTCTGTCCAATGCCAGGTGATTTTACTCGTCAGGGGGAGAGTGCTGCCACTCAATGGTCAAGTGTGCATTACTGTACTTTTCTTTAGATACTTAGTGCATGCCAAGCATTTTTCAACATACAATCATATGTCTGCATGCCTATTTTTTAACCTCTGGTGATCATTGGTGAAAATTAGAACTGCTAGCTTTAGGAGTGTTTATTATACCTGGGGCACTGATGCTCATGTGTTCTCGGCAAAGTTGGATCAGCTATTACATCTGCTACGATTTGGGTCAACTCACTAGAAAGAAACAATTATAGTAAATAACAATTATACAATGTCAGAACACAACACAATCTGAAGATTATCATGCATGGATAAACTGCATGGTTCCATGTTCCAGATTTATACAAAATTTGAAAGGATTTCTTTCATGTACATACTTTACTTCATGCATAATTTTGTTCACATAAATGCAACTGTTGTCAGCTCTTTCTTGGTAATCACAATTACGACACTAAAACAAAGATATATTTAAAAAATTTCACACAACTGTAATACATGTTTATTTCCCAAACAGGTTTGACACGTTTTTACTACAATTAACCAATCACATGTGAGATTCGGATTCTGAATGCATGAACTTATTGCAGTCAATTGTTCCAAACTCTGTTCCAAACAAAATTAATATTGAAATTCACAAGACAGTTTATAAACAAAGCATCTGATTGGTCCATGAATTTAAAAAAAGCCAACTGCATGCCTAGTTTACAAAATGGTTTGTGAATAATATTATAAATTTTAGAATTGGAAATGAATAAAAAAAACATGCAGTCATAAATCTTAAGGCCTGTTTAAACGGATCCAACATTGTTGGACCAACATCATCCAACAATGTTACTATACTAGATATGACTGCTTCTCTTTCAAATCTTTTTGGTTAGATAAGCTTTACTCAAACTCTAAACCTAGTCTTGACAAAATATTTGAAAAAGAAGCCGTTTGAGCCATTATTTCAACAATGTTGGATGATGTTGGCCCAACAATGTTGGATCCGTTTAAACAGGGCTTTATGCTGTACGTAGTTTTTCCGAAAACCATGTGTAAACACTATTCTTCCAACACGAATATAGGGAAATGTGAAAAGTTGGACTTATAATATTTTAGTATGAGTCATGTTGAACCTGTTAATGTATGTGCAATGTAATTCTTGCATTCAAAGATGCAGAAATAATTAATCAATATTAAAAATAATTTCCCTCAAAAACCGTGAGATTTGTAAATCCAGCCATGAAACCTGGAGTTCGATCAGCCCAAAAAACCTGGAGACTCACAGGTATTATAAACCATGAGAGTTTATTAAAGCTCTGCTGTTTTTAACAGAATAATAGCCGTCAGCTGGGGTCCTACTATAAAAGAACGTCCATGCAGAGAGATTTCACAAATGCCCGAGAGTCAAGAAAGAATGCCCGGAGTGAAACGTTAGTTATAAGCGAAAAAATCACTGTATAAGATAAAGTTTGAATGTTTTTCTAATATTATGTTTACTTATTCGGTGTCAAAATCACTTCTTTATATTGATAAAATGTCATATTAGTAATTAGTATATAGGGTATGCATTTTCAGTCCAGATTAAGATTTACATGTAAAGGCAAACTTACAGCATAAAGTAAAATCTTGCTATCCTTATCCTCTTTTGGGTAAAGCATGTTATTACTAGAAAAGTATTAAATCAAACAATAATGAGAACTTTCAATTTAGTTCATTCTCAATATGAAGACAAAAATATGAAGACAAAAATATGGATGAAAAATTTGAAAGTTTTAATACCATTCTTGGCAGAACTTTATTCCAACAAATCCAGGGCCACTTTGTTCAGTATTTTGTCTGCTGAACATGGTGAATTGATTTTTGCCAATTGTGACAAAATCTGGCGAAAAACGTTAAAAAAATACCAGAGTATAAATTAAAAGATTTCAGAGCAAATTATTTTTCTCCATTTTGAATTTTTTGAAATATTAAATTCTCCGATTCGTATAATTTGCCCGATTTTACGCCGGTTCCAAACCGAAAAAAATATCGCCGATTTCTAGGCTGCGCTGCACGTGTCAGCGGGGTGACCACGTGGTGCCTAAAACACGTACAAATCTCACATCTTGTAACAAGTCTGCCAACAAGCCGTCAACAAAATATATTCGCACTGCTTTTTACAAGTTGTCAACAGGTTTGGAACAACTTGTTGACAACTTGTAACAACCTTGTCGAAATTATCAGACTTGTTGCAAGGTTGTTCTGACAAGTCCGTTACATGCTTGATATAACAAGATTGTTACAACCTTGTGTTGACAACCTGGTAACATCCTTGTTATATCATGGCTGTAACAAACTTGTTGGCACAGTCTTGTAACAAGGCTGATAATGCCATCAAACTTGTTACAAGTTGTTAACAGCTTGTTCCAACAAACTGGGAACAAGCAGTGCGAACACAACTTGTTGACAGCTTGTGAATAGACTTGTAACAACTTGTTTGCAGACTTGTAACAAGCTGTGAGTTTTTACGCGTGTAGTTCAATACGTGGTGCACAAGCAAAAATCTCACATCTTGTAGCAAGTTTGTCAACAAGAGGTCAAAAAGTTGCCATCGCACTGCTTGTCCCAAGTTGTCAACAAGTTTGGAACAAACTGTCAACAATTTGGAACATCAAGCTTGTAATTACAAGGCTATTCCAGCAAGTCCGATACAGTCATGATATTAGCAATATCGTTACAACCTGTGTCGCCAATTCTTGTTTATCATGACTGTATCATAACCTTGTGATAAGTCTGATAATGCCATCAAGTTTGTTACAAGTTGTTAGCAGCTTGATCCAAACTTGTTACAACAACTGGGAACAAGCAGCTGCGAACAAAACTTGTTGACAGCTTGTGAACAGATTTGTAACAACTTGTTTGCAGACTTGTAACAACTTGTGCGTTTTTACGTGTGTATAGCGAGCATTAAATTTTTAACTTATAATTATTAACTATCTTTTCTGATAAGTGTTTATTACTTCTATTAACTATGTAAAAATGCACAGGTTGTTACAGGTCTGCAAACAAGTTGTTACAAGTCTGTTCACAAGCTGTCGACAAGTTGTGTTCGTTCTGGTTGTTCCTAGTTATTGTAGGAAGTTTGGAACAAGCTGTTAACAACTTGTAACAAGCTTGATGGCATTATCAAACTTGTTGTTCTAACATGTCTGATAGCCATGATATAACAAGAATGTTACATGGTTGACGACACAAGGTTGTAACAATATTGCTATATCATGACTGTGTATATCGGACTTCTTGGAACACCTTGCAACAAGCCTGATAATATCAACAAGGTCGTTACAAGTTGTCAATTAAACAGCTTGTTCCAAACTTGGGATAAGTAATGCGAAACACAACTTGTTGACAGCTTGTTGGCAAGAACAAGATGCGAGATTTGTGTGTGTGCAGGGTGTCCACACTTTGGTGAAGGTGAAATTCAAGGACTTTTCCAGGACTTTCAAGGCCCCGGTTTCAGTAAATTCAAGGACCTAGAACTGGGAAAAATCTTTGAAAATGGCACGGATTTGCCCAGCAAATAATTCACTTTATTCAGTAATTTTAATCAAAATCACTAATGTTGGCACATGCAGGCGGAGGTTAAGGAAATTAATTCCAAGACTTTCAAGGACTTCTACTGATTTTCAAGGACTTTCCAGTCCTGGAATATTTTTTCCAATTCAAGAACTTTCCAGGATTTTCAAGGCCCGTGGACAGGGTGTGTGTGTAATGCTCAGCAACTGGCAAACTCGTGCCTGGGAACTGAGGTTGAGTAACTGGCAAGTAGCTCAATCACAGGGCTGTAAGTTCGATTCCTGCTAGAGGGCCCATAGACATAGTTGCATTTTTCGCAATTGCTCCTGATTTGCTTTAAAAAATTCCATCTATAAAAAACCATCTACTATTAGTTCATTGCACGAGATGCCAGGTAAACCTGCGATCAGGCCTATAAGTAAATAAATAGGCCTGATACAAGACTTAACAAAAGTCCATGCCTTACAACCGTATTTCGATTGTAAATCTGATTGGCTCAGAGGAAACAATAGTTTACATTAAACTATATTAATGAGTTTGTTTGCGTACATTATATTGATGATTTTTAGTAATCCTAAAATAAGTTTGGTCAATTTCACTGTTGTGACTGGTTGCTTTTAATAGATATTTGACAGCCTGTGGATGGGGGCGGAAAGAAGTTTGTATATAAATTGTGTCAGACTTTATTTTAAAGCCATGATACTCAGGTTAATGCCAGGAGACCTCTCGATATTTGAGATCCCGAACGATAATATAATGATAATAATACAACTTTCCCAACAGAACTTCAACTTATTTACGCCATAAAATGTATATTAACATTGCATACACACATCGTGTTATTATAAGTAATATCATGAAATGAGGAGTATTAGTCATTAAACCACCCGCTCGACGAGGGTCATTTATTAAAATTCCCGAGGGCCGTAGGC